AATTTAAATAATGTTTAGATGCTGAGCACCAAAAAAACGTAATGTACTTCTGTGCCCAATGTTTTTTATTTCCCCATTAAGGTTTAAGTAAGATATTTCAATTTTTGTGCAATTTGTTTTTTCATGTTTTTAATTGTTGTTTTTTATATGACAATAAAACAGGCTCTCAAGATGACAGTATAAAAACTGTCGAAAGCTCGGCGAAAACCGAAAGGAAGTTTTCTCTGTGTTGACCTCTTCCGTAGATTCTCCGAAAAAACTTCATGTTTCCAGCAGGTCGATAACCCAGCTCATCGTTAAGGATGAAGACTTACAAGAAACTATTTTCAGTATCACAGTTGTAATTATAGTTTCTTTTATTCATTTCTTAGTCTAAGCTTTGCTGAATAGTCGGTATTGTAGTACGTTTAGGATTAATGTTTGTTAAAACAACGGCTGCGTTAGTTGGTGTAAATAGTATTTAATAATATTTATCGCATCACCAATTTAAACAGTGACGTCATTTGAAGTTCAGAACTTGAATGTTGTTATTATATCTAAACTGTATAATTCTACCCTTCTGCTTCGCAATCAAATATAATTTTTCATTATTTTTCAACCTATACAATATTTTAACAATTAAATTACAACATTTACGTATAGACTGATTTATTTTTGGAGGCAGACTCTTGAATAAATCCTCCCAAAAAAACTCTTAAATACCACGTTTCCATTGTTGGCCATTAAATTAACAAAGTCCTACTGGAACACTAAGCTAAACCGGTTGGCAACATTAGCACAACAAACAAGCAAAACCACCCCTGGTCATTTCATAACAAATACATTTTACTGAAGTTATTGTTATGCTAAGGGTAGAACTTTGAGCATCTCCCTTAAAGTAGAGATTATAAACAGAAATAATAACTATACTTTGAATATTTTATTTACATTTATGTAACCAGATAAACAAATTTAGACCAATTTGCATTAGCTATATTGTAAACAAACAAATGTATACTTTTGTAATTAGGATATAATAATTTGTGGGTTATTTTTATCACACAATTTGGTACATTTTTCTTTAAATTTATATATTTCGCGTTAAACAAATGTGGTGTTCTGTTTCTATTAATAGATAAATTTTATTGATTAGTGTGGTGATTAGTGACCGTTAATCGATAATTATTCAGAAATCGTGAGATGCGGTCTGGTGTGATGTAGGTTTCAGAAAGCCATTTTCTTTATCGTGCCAACGTTTCGATCTTTATTGAGATCATCTCCAGGGCCTGGGATTTACAAACATTGTTTACATTTAGCAAATACATTTAGGATGTGGAAAAGTGAATTTATACAATGCAAAATATAATTTTTATATATTCAATCAAAGTATTTCTACTTTCTCAAAGTGTTTGTCTTCTGTGTAATTGTGCCATTCTTGCGTGTTGTGATGAGAGTGCCAATGAGATATCGCTGTTTTATATTATTATTATGACCTTATTCTTACGACCTTTGCTCGGAATACATTGATAAGTAGAACGTTTAGTTACCCCTAAAAGTTCGTATTGTAGTTTAGTAGAAATTTGGTTCGTCTGTCCAATAATGATGGCAGATTGTAACGTCTGTTCAGTGCCTTTCGATTTTGTCTAGTGTGCGGATTTGAAGTAAGATGTTGGTTTAGGTTCCGGTAAGTCCCTAGCAAGGTAGACAACGGGTGTAGTAAAATTGAATGGTTCGTAGTGTAATTAAGGTTTTGGTTGAGATAAACAATCATTTTCACGAGCGGGATTCGAACCCACGATCTTCGGCTAAATACGCCGCTGCTCTACCATTTGAGCTATCGTGACTTCGATCCACTCGGGCACTAACTTCCCATCTCAACCCCACCTTTTGAATTTTCCCTCCTTTTTGCCATTTTCCAAATGTCCTGTAATCTATTCGATTCTCGGCGACAAATGAAATGGCCATGGAGAGCTTTAGTGAAAAATGGCAAAAAGGAGAGAAAATTCGAATGATGGGTTGAGACGTGACTTCGATCCGCTCGGGCACCAACTTCCCATCTTAACCCCACCTTTTGAATTTTCCCTCCTTTTTGCCATTTTTCATAAATTATTTTTTATTGGATATCATTTCATAAAGTATTGGTTATTGGATTTTTATTTTAAAATTTTTTAAACCAGTTAGAGCGAATTCTATTATGTTAGGGATAATAAATCCGTTTGAAACGAAAAAAATGGAGTGGTATCGAAAAGCGAGGTCCAATAAATTTAGATCATTTTTGTTCCCCACGGGGTGGAGAATAAACAGCTAATCGTACTACAAAGGGTACATTTAACCATTTACAATTTAAACCATATGTAAATGCATCCCTCCTGATTATGGAATTATTAGACGTTTTGTCGTCTTTGAAGGCTTTATTATCACCTTAAAATTATTTCTCGATATCTTTAATTGAAAACTATAAAGCTAAAACATAATTTAATTGTGTTAATTAGATTATTCCTTCAGTTTAAATTGAAGAGTATATCTCTTGAACGTTCTTCGTTATATGATGGTCGAGTACCAAAATACCCGAGCCAGTTGAAAATAATGAACATTCTACGCCTTGTGTTCTCCCGATAAATAAAGGAAAGTAAGGGCTTTAAAGAACTCTACCCTCCCACCGGTTCCCGTGTGACGACTTTAGGACTGAAAGCGGTTGTGGCCGGTCGGGGGAGCTTTTGAGACATTCTTTTGAAGTGCCTTTATCGGCAGTATTGAAACGGTCTGTTTAAGGATTTACATTGTAGGGCTGACCGCTTGACCCTAGTATGAAGTAACGAACCGTTTCTTCTGCTTATTAGGTCCGGTGGCCCCCACAAAGACCACGGCCTGAAAGGTAAAACGTATTGATCCTTTTGAACCCGGATTCATGTGTTAGTTATGTAAAACTCAAATGAATATTCCTACAGGGTTTCTTTTTCACTTATTTTACATTTTTGGCAGAATAATGTATGGAGTTAATCCTATTGAAATATCTAGAGTTGATTGGATTTTAATAATTTTTCATTATCCTAACGATTTTCGAATCGGAAAAACATTTTTTTAATATATTTATAAGAATATTAAATCCAAATTAAATAAACATTAAATAAGTTACAAATATACTAACGCTTATTTATATGAGCTTACTCCATGTACAAATAAACTATCACAATAGAAGCCCTGTTCATGAGCCATTTCGTTATCCGCTTACTTAAAAGATTATATAGATGGGGAGAAATCCATCCAAACAAGTCAAAATAATACCATGATAAACTTATTGATTAAACATGAGAATAATCTCATGTATAAAGACTATTATGAAGTCCTTTAAGGTAGAGTTTTTAAATTTATTTCAGTGATTTTGTAAAGATTATTGTTATTTTTTTGTATTTTGCAGTAAATTGTACGGTTCACTTTATATGATTTATTTCTGTTTTGTTGTTACGTATCTTGTACGTTTATCGATTTATGAAAAATTATGCTCAATAAAATATTATCCTTCATATCATAACAGAAAGACCGATCCTAAATTTTTCAAATATTACAAGAAATTATTCAGAAATCGTGAGATACGGTCTGGGTGACGTAGGTTTTAGTAAAACACTTTCTTTATCGTGCCAACGTTTCGATCTTTATTGAGATCACCTTCGGGGCTCAAAGTGTTTTTTTTTCTGCGTAGTTGTGTCATTCTTGTGTGTCGTGGGCACTCTCTTTAAGGTTAAACACTTTAAGCTCTGAAGATGATCTCAATAAAGATCGAAACATTGGCACGATCTCCAAATAATCATTAACTAACGGTCACTAAATACCACCCAGTTCAAACAAAATTTAACTCGTGGCAAACTGACGTGTATCGCTCTTTTAACGTAATTACGAAGTGTGTTCCTTGATTGTATGTTTATAGATGTTGGAGTATTTTGAAAAAATATTTCCTTTCGAAAATATAACAAAATGGATAAAAAACGGCTTGTTTGTTTTGCATTGTCAAGGTAGAAGGAGGAAAGGGTTCGAGGGGGCATCAAAATGAATTACACGGCGAAACGGCCTCTGTATCAGATAATTAAGTTTGTCCGCGATCCGGGAGGAATGGTTTTCAGGGTCGGTTGAAAAAAAATAGGGGGCGGCAGTCTGGCCTTTTTTTCCGGTCACAGTTTTGGCGGGGTAGCCGCAGGGTCGGAACGCGCCCCCGGCCGTCCGGAGGAAAAAACCGGGGCTGCGCGTCTCGGCGGAAATTGACAGGGGGCTCCAAATGAAAAAGTCAGCACTGTTAAATCCGTGCCAGCCGGGACTATCTGGCTATTACTAAATCAACCTAAAACGTTTCCCGAAATGTTGTAACTTTGAAACACTCACCCCCGGATAATAAATTCGAGCTTCCTTCCCGTTCTTTTGGGCAATGTATTGTAAATAGGATTTTTCGCCTTTTATCATTTTTCTGCCACCCTGTATATATTTCAGGTTATTTTTATTATTCATGAGGATTATACATTTGAGAGCTTGTTTCTATCGGTTTTACTTCTCTTCATTTCCGAATCGTCCAACAATGAAGAAAAGAAAAGCTTTTACTGCGGCTCTTATCAAATTGGAATATCAACAATAAAGACACATTCTACCTTCATAAACCATTTCTTACTATCAATTGAAGTATAGATAAATGTGAGAAGCTAGATCATAAAATCATAATCAGGCCAGGGACAAATAGATAGATACGACACCTTCAAATTTATCTAAATTTAATTAATTTTATTTGTTATAAATTAATTTGTTAAATTTAAACAATGTTTCGTAAATCCCAGGCCCTGAAGATGATCTCATTAAAGATCGAAACGTTGGCACGATAAAGAAAATCTGTTTACGCCAAAGTAATTAGCGTAAATATTTTGTTTCTGTTTAAACGCTGACTCGAATCGCAACTGAATTTTTCTGACGATTCTGACGCAGAACATTAACCAGGTATCCTTTCGCATCCCTAGATGTATTGTTCTATATCTTTTTTTGGCATGACCCTCGTAGGATTTTGCGATTCTTCCGAGCAAGGATATGCTGCAGCCGTCTATCTTTACATCCGCTCGGACTCGTGTCATTGTTATTCACATTTATTGAAAGCAAAAACTAAAGTTGCTCCTCTCAAGGTCATGTCAATCCCTCTTCTAGAACTTTGTGCTGATCTACTGTTCGCTCAACTAGTTAAATCAGTACAAATGGCAAGCTTACCGATTTTGGTAACCGCTTCTACTTTATTCTCTGATTCCCAGATAGTTCTGTTTTGGATATTGACTCCGCCCCACCTTCTGAAAACATTCGTGGCAAATAGGTTAGTGTCAATTTCTGAAGCTGTTCCTCTTGCAACTTGGGCGCACATTCCTTCAGCTTTAAATCCTGCTAATTTGCCTTCACGCGGATTAGGTCCCGAATTATTCATTGTTCCTGATACGCTAAAATTCTGGCTTCGAGGCCCCGACTTTTTAGTCCAAGCTGCTTCCGCCTGGCCGCCTCCATTTCGGCTAAATAGAAAACTTGCTTCCTCACTTCCCGAATTAAAACAGGAAAATGCATGTTTCCTTGCCGAATCTAAATTGACTAACCCTCTCATCGATGAGATTGAACGGTTCTCTACCTTTATTCGTTTACGCCGAGTCTTTGCTTGGGTTAAACGATTCCTTCACAATTCGCAAGCTCGACGTAACCGACTTGAACCTAAAACTGGCCCTCTCACTCCTGACGAGCTCGACGAGTCACTATTCGTGATAGTTAAGATCACTCAGAAATTCTATTTTAATGCCGAACTTGAGATGTTGAAAGGCAAAGGCAAAATTTCCCCCAAAGTGCAAGCCTTGACACACTTTATCGATGAACGTGGTCTTCTCAGGGTGGGCGGAAGACTCTCCCAATCTACGCTCGTTCGTGAGTCCAAGCATCCTGTACTTTTGCCGAAAGTTTCCCATTTGTCTTGATTGATATGATCCCATTATCACGTTTCTTCGCTACATTCTGGGCCAACCACAGTACAGGCCCTAATAAGGACGAAATTCTGGATATTGTCTCTTCGCAGTCATATTAGAAAATGCATAAGACAATGCTTATCGTGCTATAAGTTTCGTAGCTCTTCTTACCAACCTCAAATGGCAGATCTTCCCTCATGACGCGTCACTGTCTCTCGCCCTTTCTCACACGTCGGCGTTGATTTTGCAGGCCCTTTTACAGTCCGATCAAATCTTTCTCGAAAGCCTTTATTAACCAAAGGTTATTTGTGTTTGTTTGTCTGTACAGCAACTAAAGTTGTTCATCTTGAATTTGTTTCGTAACTTAGTGCAATCGCATTTCTCTCTGTACTTGATCGTTTCATCGCACGTCGCGGTCTCCATTCAGAAATATTGTCAGATCGAGGGTGTAATTTCGTTGGTGCATCCCGTCATCTGAAGAAAGTATTTAATTTCCTTCAGCAACATAGCGAGGATATCTGTGACCCTTTAGCCGAACGTGAAATAAAATGGCGTTTTTCTCCTCCCTATACTCCCCATTTCGGAGGGTTGTGGGAAGCCGCTATTAAATCAACCAAGAAGCTTCTAGTACGAATGATTGGAACGACTACAGCTACCTTCGAAGAATATTGTACTTTGTTTTCAAGACTTGAAGCCGCATTAAATAGCAGACCCTTATGTCCCTTAACTGATGATCGTGATGAATCATTCTCATATCTAAGCCCAGGCCATTTTCTCATTGGCGCACCAGTACTCTCTTCTCCAGAATATCCCTTGTTCCACTCCAAGAATCTACGAACGATGGGAGAGACAACAACATTTGTTTCAGTCCTTCTGGGGTCGTTGGTCAAAGGAATATTTAAATTCATATTTATATATAATATTCTCATACAACGCCGAAAATGGGCACTCCCTTCGAAGCTTCCAGTTGTAGGGGACGTGGTGTTCTTGAAGGGGATCAATTCCCATCCTTTGTCCTAGCCCATAGGCCGCATTCAAGCTCTTCTCCCGGGGAGTGACAAAGTTTCACAAGTTGTCTTCGTTCGCAGTGCCTCCGGTGTGTGCACCCGATCTGCGTCATCCCTCGTGCCATTACCGAGGGGGGGTTAGAATAATCGGTTTTAGTTAAATTACTTGTAAATATTGTACATAAAACTTTACTTTATTTCAGAAGATAAAATTAATTTAATTTTGGTGGGCGGTATGTTTTCGCCAAAATAATTAGCGTAAATATTTTGTTTCTGTTTAAACGCTGATCCATTCCCTTGTGCCCTAATCCCTAAAACGGGCCGATAGGGCACTGCGTCTGCAACTGGCTCCCGTCGTCACTTGCTCTCATGCGTCCGAGAGAAACGAACGTCTTGCTTCCGTGCTTCCGTTTTATTGCTTCCGTGCAAACCTTTTATTTAGTTTTAGCATTCCTTATTTCAAGGCTAGAAAGTTATTTTCAGTTTAGTTTTCTTTTAATTTCAAATCACGGGAGTGATACCCGCCAGTCGCCGATAGAAAAGGTTCGGACGAAACCTAGCAGGTATTGTAGTAATCTAAGCCATCATATTATACAGGGCCTTGGTTATGTTGAGGGTTTAGGTGCTGCATTGCTGGGTACCGAACAGAAGATTGGCGAGGACTACACACCCGTCACCTCAGGTATTGGGGTTTTATTTTAATTGTATTTTATTTTATTATTTTGTTATTGGTTTCGCGACCACACCAGCGCGCCCCTTATTTAACGGCGCCTACAAAATGTTTTTCTGAAACCTAAGTCACACCAGACCGCATCTCACGATTTCCGAATAATCATCGACTAACGGTCACTAATCACCAAACATTAAAAATTAAATTAGATTAATTTTAATTAATTTTATTTTTAAAATTTTTTGTGAGGCTCAAAATGTTATCAGTTTTAAATTTACTGGCTGGTCGCTGCAGATCCAAGGGGTATCTTATTACATTCTACAAAGTGATGGAGGAAGCCCCATTTTATTTTTAAATGTATAAAATAAGAACTTTTCTAATTCGTAACAGTTCCCCATTCTAAAAACAATAACACCAAATCAAATCATGATTCTTGATCAATTTGAATTTTTTAGTTGGCGTAGTAATGATTGGACTTAACGGATGGCTAAGTTAGAATGTAAAAATAATTCTTCTCGCTCCATTCAAAAAGACCATCACCTAATCATTCTCATGTTTACTTATTGTTTTGATAAAATTCACCTTAAAACTTAATAAATAAAAGTACTACTTATATATTACGTTTTTTATTAAACTTTTTGATATAAATTCTTATGAGAAAAATAAAATAATTATTCGTTGTTATTTGTCTTTCCCCGGATTTGGGGGGTTGAAAAAGAAATCGCTGCACTCGAAGGACACGTGCCATGAGAAACCAGTCAATGCTGGCAATCAGTGCAAGGGGTTAAGGGGCAAGGAGGTTTAGACGCCATCATCGAATAAGGCTACGTCGCGGGTTCTCAGGATGGCGATGTGTAGAGAAAGCTCGAGCAATAGAGTTAGAATGGGTCGATAAGCTTATGTGAAACTTTAGTATCGGGAACGACCGAGTTCATTGATGAAAGGAATGTTTAGGCCATTGTGGAGGTTTGTGACAGAGAACTTGTAATGGGAAGGATTCGATCCGCTGGATGTTGGATGGCATGGTAGAACAACCCAGATCGACTCGTTGACTTGTACAAGGTCAGTTTAGTTTCGATAGGAAAGTCAGACTTGGGCCCTAGAACTCTTCGTAGTTGTCCAACTCTTGTGTTGTGAGTTATTGTCTCTTAAGTCTTGTGTGGGAATCCGAAGCCAGTCTAAGTGCTGTCTAGGTACAGTCCTAAGTATTTGACTTTAATGGATGTCGGTTTCTCTTTGTTGTTGATGTACAGTGGAAGGCAAGACTATTTTTTCAATGTAAACGTACACTGAGTGTATTTTTCTTCATTCAGTCTTGTCCTTCACGTTTTGCGAAGTCTGAATGCTCATGGAAGTTGGACGATGCTTGGATAAGAGCCGAGTTCGAGGTCAAAATTGAGTTACCGTTCATGTAGGTGATAATGGTATTAGCGTGTATAGGTAAATCAGCAGTATAAATTATATGAAGGATGGGACCGAGAATGCCCCTTGGTGAGACGCCTGCTTGTATCTGTCCGATTTCCGAGAACTCGTTTGAGAACTCACCCGGAAAACGGTCAGTTAGATAGGATTTCAGGATAGGGTAATATTGAACGAGTAGGAAACGTCTATGTTTGTAAAGCATACCCGGGCGCCAGACCCTATCGAAAAGCTGTGCTACATGTAGGAACGCACCTACTCTTTATTTTCTAGACAATTCTGAAACCTTGTCGGATCGAGGAAAGTTGCGGACTGACGCCAAATTGGTGAGAAGGAATGATTTTAAGAGTATCCAGGATTTTTATTAAGCGCTTTAATAGGAGACTTCCAAGGATTTTAGACATTGAAGAAAGAAGATTGATGCATATGTAAGAGGATATGTGGTTGGGAGGTTTGTGAACTTTAGGGATGAAAACAACGACGAAATAATTCCATAGCAGACAGTGGTTGGTTCGTAGGATAGCATATATTGTAGTTAACAAAACCATAGCCTTTTGTGGAGATTTCAAAGTATCGTAATTACTTCAGGTCCAGGGGATTTTCTACTTGGGGATTTGTGAATGTGGCATTTTACTTCAAAAGGATGAAAAGGGTTGAAAGCGAGATGCAGAGGATACTAAGATTTTGCATTATATGTGCCTGAGGAGCATCATTTATGTCTTAATGAAGGGTAAAGGTGGATTCTAAAAAATAAAATCATGCGTTAAAATGGGGTAATAGATGGGCCGGCTTTAGTTGACACATAACCTTTCTTTTTCTAGCCAAAAACAATTATTTTTTATTACCTTAATGCTAAATAAAATAATTATTCATGTTTAATCATAATTAATTTTTAACAGACGTACTGAATATAAGGGAAGATATGATTAATGAAATCACGACACTGAGCACATTGTCAGCTGGTTAAACAATGCAATTTATTCTTTCTTTTTCCTCATTCGCAATTTCCTTCCTTTTTATTAATGCTAAATAAGATTAATGTTCTTGTTTAATCACCTTTTGAAATCAATGGTGAAGACTATGATTAAAATCATGTCACAGGACACCGCGTTACCGGTTTGAACACAATTGATCATGCCTTTTTTCTCCTCGCTTGTAGGTTTTTGTTATAAATTAGTAATGTGTGGTGATTAGTGACCGTTAATCGATAATTATTCAGAAATCGTGAGATGCGTCTAGTGCTATGTAGGTTTCAGAAAAACATTTTCTTTATCGTGCCGCAGGCGAGCATTCTGCGAGCATTGCATCGTTGTTCAGTGGTAGAATGCTCGCCTGCGGCACGATAAAGAAAATGTTTTTCTGAAACCTACATCACACCAGACCGCATCTCACGATTTCTGAATAGTTATAAATTAGCATCAAAACTGTTAAAAAGTTTATTTTATCTCATACTCTTATGAAGAGCTGATAATTAAAATTAAAATATCTTATTTATAAGCGTTTCTACGCGTTCCTCACTGAAGCTGGGGCATTAACTCGAGACTCGTCTGAGGAATAAACCAGCGATATTAGGCTGATCCAGTAGTGAGAAAGTCTCAAAAATATTCTAAATAAGCCAACAAAATATTTTTTCTTTGTTTTATTTTTTTAACAAAAAAATCGAAACTATTATTCTTGAGCTAGTGATTAATGGCAAGTCAAACCCCTAAAGGCAAGGAAATAACTGCGTATTAGAGAACCATTCCAATTAGAATAACAGACAGGTTCAAAGACAAGTACTGTAATGATTCATGACTTCAATTGGACTAAATAATCCGAGAGTGGTAAAGTGCTTGACAGCAAGGGGGGAGGGTTATTTCGGTTCCATAGGGCCAAAGGGACAAGGTAAACCGGGCTAATTAAACACGAGATGAGAC